CTGGAACTGGAGTTAGGGACAGTTGTTAGCTGCCATGTGGGTGCTGGGATTTGAACCCGGGTCTTCTGCAAGAACAGTCAGAGTTCTTAACCGCTGAGCCATCTCTCCAGCCCCCTTTATTTATTATTTTTAGTCTACGTATATGAATATCTTGCCTGCAAGTATGTAAGTGCATCCATGTCATGCAGTGCCCACAGAGGTCAAGAAGAAGGTGTCAGATTCCTTGGAACTAGAGTTACAGATGATTGTTAGCCACCATGTCGGTGCTGGGAATTGAACCCAGGTCTTCTGTAAAAGCAGCCAGTGGTCTTAACTGCTGAGCCATCTCTCCCGCCCTGACGGTTTTGTTTGTAGTTTTTTGTTTTGTTTTGTTTTGTTTTTCGGTTTGGTTTTTTTTGGTGCTAGAGGTGGAGCCCAGAGCCTTTTACATACCAGACACTCATTCCACCACTGAGCTCTACCGCACCCACATGATTTTTTTTCACAGAAAACTTTGTGAGCTTCATGTACTAATATATAGTGGATAATGCTGACCAAGAACCAACTTTAAAATTCTCCTACTTGCAGCTCCCTCTGCCGTGAGCTAGATGTCATTTCCATTAATGAAAAGGAAAGAGAGGAGAATGAAGCTGATGCCAAACCTAGAACCAGAGGTAGGTTCATAAGCTGAAGCTTCACTTCAGCTGCGCTTATTATTTGCATTCCAGTCCTCAATTTTCCTTAGACTCAGATCTAAATGAATCTTTGTTTACTCTGAAATGAGCTTACTAAGAAATACTGTTACACCAATGTTTCTGTTCCTTCTTTATCACTTGCCTAAGGTATTGAATCCAGTTTGAGTCAATACACATTTCCTAAGAAACTTCTGACTGCTGTAAGATTAAATAATCAATTGTTAATAATTCACTCTCAGTTTTTCGGGGTGCTTTTTGTTTTTTAGACAGGAACTCACTCTGAAGCCCTAGCTGGCCTGAGACTTGCTATATATAGACCAGGGTGGTCTTAAACTTACAGAAATCCATCTGCCTCTGCCTGTACCTTTAAATTTTTTTATTTTTATTTTATGTGTATGACTGTTTTGCCTACATGCATATAAATGTGCCCATATCATGCAATGCCCACAGAGGCCAGAAGAGTGCCTCAGTTCCCATGGAACTGGAGTTACAGTGATGGTTGTTAGCTGCCATGTGGGTGCTAGGAACCAAAATGTGATCCTCTAGAAGAGCAGCCAGTGCTCATAACCACTGAGCCATCTCTCCAGCCCAGATTCTCAGTTTCTTAAATTCAGTTGTTGTTGGTTTTTTTAATATTTTATTATTTTTATTGTGTATATGAGTGTTATGCCTGCATGTAAGTAAGTGCACCCGTGTCATGCAATGCCTGCGGAGGATGGAAGGTACTGTTGGATCCCCTGGAACTGGAGTTACAGACAGTTGTTAGCTGCCATGTGGGTGCTGGGATTCGAACCCAAGTCTTCTGCAAGAACAGCCAATGTTCTTAAGCACTGAGCCATCTCTCCAGCCCCAATTGAGTTGTTTTTTAAAAGATTTTATTTATTTTTTTATTTAACTGTATGTATGTGTGCCTGAGTGAGTTTATGTGCACCACATGTGTACAGGTGTGCCCAAGAGGGCAGAGGGCATCAGACCTCCTTGGAACTGGAGTTACAGGCAGTTGTGAGCTCCCTGATGTGGATGCTGGAAACCAAATCTGTGTCCTCTGTGAGATCAGGAAGTGCTCTTTTTTTTTTTCATGTGTATGCGTGCATTGCCTGCATGCATGTAAGTGCACCATGTCCTACAATGCCCTTGGATCCCCTGGAACTGGAGTTACAGACAGTTGTTAGCTGCCAAGTCGGTGCTGGGACTCAAACCCAGGTCTTCTGCAAGAACAGCCAGTGCTCCTAACAGCCTCTCCAGGCCAGCAGTAAGCGCTCCCACTGAGCCATCTCTCCAACCCCAACAGTTATTTATTTAACATCTATATGCCCAGTGCTTTTGTTCTGTCTTTGATGCATCTAAATGGGGTCTCACACTTGTGACTTGGGTGCCTGAGATATGACTACTGAGTTGTGTGTTGCATAGTCCAGATCTGTGGTCTCTAATTGATTTTTTTTTTTTTTTTGAGACAGGGTCTTCCAGTAATCCCAGCTGACCTGGAACTGGCTATGTAGACCAGGCTGGCCTCTAAATCACAGAGATCCACCTGCCTCTGCTTCCCAAGTGCTGGGATTAAAGGCATGTGTCACCACACCTGGCTCTAATTGAACTTTTTTTTTTTGGTGTTTTTGAGGCAGGGTCTCCCTGTAGCCCCAGCTGTCCTGGAACTCACTATGTAGACCAGGCTGGCCTTGAACTCATAAAGATCCACTTGCCTCTACCTCCCAAGTGCTGGGATTAAAGGTGTGCGCCACCACGCCTGGCTAATTGAACATTTTTGTCAAATGTTGTTTCCTTTCTTAAATATCAAAACTCAAGAACGGGGGGTGTGTCACAATGGTGGAACACATGCCTAGCCATAGCCAAGGCCCTGCGTTTGATCTCAAACTCAAATACTGCTTCATCTGTTCCAGTGTTAATAAAACCAACCTTATGAATTCCACTGTTAATGTTCATGGAATAATTACAAATATTCTGTTTAAAGTACTTGAAAAATTATTTTTCAAGTGAGATTGCACAGTAGACAAAGACATCTGCTGCCAACCTGTCATCCTGAGTTTGTTCCTCAGAACCCACATGGTGGAAAGAAAGAACTGAGTCCCACAAGTAGTTGTCTGACCTCCACACACATGCTGTGGCATACCACCACCTCCTCCCCAAACACAAAATAAGTAGATAATTAATTAATTAAATACTTGAAAAAAAAGTTCCCAACATAAAAGACAGTAATAAACTGGGAAAAGGAACTCAGGAAAACAAAATGTAATAAAGAAGGAAATTTTAAATTATATATATGAAATTTCCTTAGAGAATGAGTAAATAGTGCATCCACGGGGTAGATCAGAATGGTATGAAAAATAACACTCAGAACAGGAAAATTCAGGGGTGGAAAATGAAGTAGATGAGGTGGCACACACCTGTAATCAGCACTTGGGAGGATTAGGAGTTCAAGACAGTGGAGGCTACAGAGGAATCCTATCTCAAAAAAGAAAAGAAATGGGAGGGGGAGGGAGGAAAGAAGGAAAGGAAGGAAACTGGACTTTCTGGCTCACGTCTGTAATCCTAGCACTTGAGCACTTGAATGATAGAGGCAGGGAGGATCAGGAAGTTGAAGGACAATCTTGGCTACACAGTTCAAGGCCAGTGTGGAGTACATGAAATCTACTAAAAAGTCAAAAACCAGACCTACAACAAGGTACATCAATTTAAACGTTAAGAACATTTGAAAATTAAGATAGTATCTTAAGTAAATACTTTTCAAAATGCCTTCCCCCACCAATAAACCTGAGAAGATAACTTCAGCCTAGTAAATAATAATGGACATACTGATTTGGTTTTTGTTTTAATTTTTATTTATTATTTTTATTTTATGTATATCAGTGTATTGCCTGTATGTGTGTAAATGCATCAGTGTCATACACTGCCTAAGGAGGTCAGAAGAGGGTGTCAGATCCCCTGGAACTGGAGTTACGAATGGTTGTTAGCTGCCATGTGGGTGCTGGGAACCAAACTCGTATCCTCTGCAAAAGTGGTCAGTGCTCTTAATCACTGGGCCATCTCTCCAGCACCCAATATACTGATTTCTTAAAAGCCCTTGCTGTTCAGGACAGAAAGTTCATAATGAAAAGAGGTTCCTGATTTTTCCCATAATAAACCTGTTAGGGGCTAGAGAGATGACTCCACTCTTACAGAGGACCTGAGTTTAGTTCTCATCATCCAGATGGCTGCAAACAGCTGTCCATAACTCCAGTTCTAGGGGATCCAACACCAAGCAGAGGTGTGCTTACATACACGCAGGCAAAACACTCATATGCATTTTTTAATTAATTAATTAAAATAAAAATAAACCTGTTAGCAGTATTTTAATTTTTAAATATTCATTATTTTGGGGTGGGGGCACATGCCATGGTACACAAAGTGTGGAGGTCAGAGGACAACCTGCAAGAGTCAGTTTTCTCCTTCCACTATGTGGGTTCTGGGGACCAAATCCAGGTGTTCAGACTTGGTGGCAAGCACCTTTACTAAACCCTGAGCCATCTCACTGGCCCTGACCTTAAACTCTTGATCACCCTGTCTCCTGAATGCTGGAATTGTAGGTATGCACTACCACAACTGGCATACTTCAAAGTTTTAAAGGCCAGGCGTGGTGGCTCCTACCACTTGGGAGGCAGAGGTGGCTGGGTCTCTGAGTTTGAGGCCAGCCTGGTCTACATAGGGAGTTCCAGGCCAGCTGGGACTACAGGGAGACCCAGTCTCAAAAAGACCACAAAGAAAAAGTGGGGGTTTTTTGGTCTTTTTGAGACAGGCTTTTAAAGAAGGCAAGTTGACAGAGTGATCTCAGTACTGTAATCCCAGTACTCAGAAAGTAGAGGCAGAAGGCTCCTCAGTTTGAAGCCAGCCTTGCCTGTTTTGTTAAGAGAAACTTTCCATAACGCAAAAATAAATTGAACTACCTATCATTCTTAAGTTAGATAACCAGCATTAGTCATTAGTTTAGGATGTATTAGAGGTGGTTGGAAGTTAAAATGGCCTTTGCCCTTTTTCATGTTATTTCCATCCATTTCTTTCTAGTTCCCAAATCCTAGAATGTCTGTGTACTTCTTGTGTATTCTCACTGTATCTTCATATCTCAGTCAGTTCTTTGGAGTCCTTTTTTTTTTTTTTTTTTTTTTTTTTTTTTTTTTTTTTTTAAAAAAATGTGTATGGGTATGTATACATGTATGTACAGATGCCTGTGGGAGCCAGAAAACAACATCAAATCCCTTAGAACTTGAATTGCAAGCAATATGGGTACTGGGAGTTGAATTCTGGTCCTCCACAAGAGCAGCGAGTGCTCTTAACTCCTGAGCCATCTCACAGCCTCCTAGAGTCCAATTCTTATCCATATGCCTGTTTGGCATTGAGGGGGTTTTTTAGTTTTTTGTTTTGTCTTGTTTTTGACTGAAGCTTGAACCCAGGCCTATGTGTGCTATAAAAATGTCTGGAGGGGTAGGAGTGACAGTTCAGCCAGTAAGAGCACTTATTGCTCTTGTAGAGTACTGAGGTTTGATTCCTAGCACCCATATGGCACTTCACAACCATCTGTAACTCCAGTTCCAGGGGAATCCGATGCCCTCTTCTGACTCCATGGGCATTACATGACATGGGTGTAATTACATGCACTCAGACAATACACTCGCATATAAAATAAAAATATTAAATAAAATATTAAAAACATTAACATAGTACTTAATATATAATATGCAGTCTTTGTATATTTAAATAACTTGTATGCCTACTATACCAAATAGTGAACTAAATTATGTAATAAGTTATATAGGCCTTCATTTAAGGAGCTTAAAATCTTTTGAATTTGTTTTCTTTGTTTTTGTTTGTTGTTTTGTTTTTGATATAGTGTCTCCCAGTGTAGCCTAGAATACCCTCCACACTTGTGATCCTCTGCCTCTGCCTTCTGGGTATTGGGATTTCAGGCCCTTGCCATCAGGACAAGCTTAAACTCTTGACTTGAGGATTCAGAAGCTAGGCATGCTGACATAGGCCAGTGATTCTTGTACTAGAGAAGAAGCGGGAAGATGAGGCGTTCAAGCTCATATCCATTGCATAGGAAATCTGGGGGTAATATGAGATACATGAGAAACTGTCCCCCCCAAGAAACAAAAATAAAATAAAAGTTCAGACAGGAGGCAGGGCCTCACAGGATAAGATGCTCCGGTGGGCTGCAGCAAGTCATCAATATCCAATTTCCAAGACTACAGGCTTTTGTCAGGGCAGACAGTTTAAGGATTTGACCTTAGTGGGGCAAGACAAACATGAAAACAGTCCTGAGAAGACAAGCAATTTTTTGGCTATCACCAATGGGTTCTATATACTGCTGAAATCAATGGCAATAACATGTACTGGGGTCTAGGGATATAGCTCAGTGGCAGGTTGCTTACCTAGCATGTATGAGGCCCTAGGATCAATCCCCAGTATACATACAGACACACATACACACACACACACACACACACACACACATTAAAACATGTTCTGGGATGTGAATTAAAGCATGATACCTCCTAAATAGCATCATAGGCTTTGCTATGTGATTTGTGACTATCAACAACAGACCACCTACTGCATGCACATTTGGACAAACTATACCTTCAACATGAATGGCACTCAAGAACAGTGTTTACCTTATTCCATCACTAGAAAGAAGATTCAGAAGTGAGTCCCACCTTTAACACTAAGCTAGTTTTAGTATGTAAAATATAGGGCATTTCATATAATTGTGGGTTTTACTGCTTATACTAACTTGATTAAAATTGTTTGACCAGAAAAGTTAACTTTCAATGTACTATACAATTGATCCCAAAGTAAGCTGTTTCTATTTTTTCTTCTTTTTGTATGTATATATTCATGTGCATTTGGAGGCCAGAGGTCCATATCAGGCGTCTTTTTCAGTCATTCTCCACCTTATTTTTTGAGACAGCGTTCCTTAATGAACCTGGAGCTCACCAATTTAACTAAACTGATTGCCCAGTAAGCTCCCAGGATCCGCCTGACTGCCTTCCCAGCTCTGGGGTTGCAGATGCACACTGCCATGCCTGGCTTTTATATGGATACAGTGTATCCAAACACAGGTCCCTGTGCTTGCAAAAAATAAGCACTTTACTGATTGAGCCATCTCCCCTACCCCAAAAGAGGCTATTTCTTTTATGTGTTTACATTTGATCTTTTCAAAATTTCTTCTCCAATCCCAAGTAAATCGGATTAATATTTATTAAATCTTTTTGTTTGTTTTTTGAGACAGGGTCTCACCATGTAGACCAGGCTGGTCTGGTACTCACAGAGATCTGCCTGCCTCTATTTCCCAAGTGCTGGGGTTAAAGGTGTGCACTATCAGGCTGGAGAGATGGCTCAACAGTTAAGAACACTGACTGCTCTTGCAGAAGACCCAGGTTCAAATCCTAGAACCCACATGGCAGCTAACAACTGTCCCTAACTCCAGTCCCAGGGGATCCGACAGCCTCTTCTGTCCTCCGCAGGCATTGCACGACATGGGGGCACTTACCTACATGCAGGCATAACACTCATACACATAAAATAAAAATAACAAATAAATAAAAAAATAAAAGTAGAGCCGGGCATGGTGGCACACACCTTTGATCCCAGTACTTGGAAGGCAGAGGCAGGTGGATCTCAGCCAGCCTGGTCTACATAGTGAGTCTCAGGCCCACTGGGGCTGTTACAAGGAGACCCTGCCTCAAAAAGACCAATAAAATAAAATAAAATAAATAAAAAGGTGTGCACTATCATGCCTGACTAGATCCTTTAAGAATTTTGTATGCTGGGCGCACGTCTTTAATCCCAACAAAGGCAGGCAGATCTCTGTGAGTTCAGGCGGCTCTACAAGTACTCTACCACTGGGTCATGTCCTCACCCTAGAGAATTCTGGTAAGAAACTTAAAGTTATATGTTTATGCTCTTCTTTTTTGCCAACATGCTAATTATAATCCTGCTTCATAATTCAGATTATAAGAAGACCAGTCTAGCACCATATGTGAAAGTATTTGAACATTTTCTAGAAAATTTGGATAAATCCCGTAAAGGTGAACTTCTCAAGAAGAGTGGTAAGATTGTGTTTTTCCCTTTTATCCAGTTGAATCTTCTTAGTTTGGGTAGTTTAAACCATCCAGAAATGAGCAAAAATTTTTTTAATCTTTTTAAAATATATTTTATTTTTCTTTTTTTAATTTTATGTGTGTTTTGCCTGCATGTATTTAAGTGCACCCATATCATGTAATACCCATAGAGTTCAGAAGAGGGCATCAGATCCCCTGGACTGGAGGTATTGATTGTTGTTAACTGCCATGTGGGTGCTGGGAATTGAACCCAGATCCTCTGAAAGAACAGCCAGTGCTCTTAATTGCTGAACCATCTCTCCAGCCCCCAAATGAACAATTTTTAATTCTAGTCTTTGTAAGACTAATCTTTGTCTAATCTAGTTTTTAAAACACTGATTTATCTGCCGGGCGTAGTGGCACATGCCTTTAATCCCAGCACTCGGGAGGCAGAGGCAGGCAGATCTCTGTGAGTTCAAGGCCAGCCTAGTCTACATAGTGAGTTCCAGGACAGCTGGGGCTACGAGGAGACCCTGTCTCAAAAAGCCCAAAATAAAAAAATTTTTAAAGAAATCACTGATTTATCATACTATCATTAGTGGGTTTTTTAAGTATTTTACATGAATTTATTTAGGAGTGTGCATGCACACATGTGAAGGTCAGAGGACAATTTGCAGGAGTTGTTTTTCTCCTTCTACCTTGTGGTTGATGCTAGGGAATCAAACGCAGGTCATCAGGTTTGGCTGCAAGCAATTAAACTGATGAATCAACTTGCCAGTCCTCATTAGTGTTTTTTGTTTACTTTGTTAAATATTTTATTTGTGTGTGTGTGTGCGCGCACGCACGCACGCACCATGTGTGTCATGTGTGTGCAGATACATGAAAAGGCCAGAAGAAGGCATTGGATCCCTGGAGCTAAAGTTATAGGAAGTGGAATGCTAGGAACCAAAGTTGGTTCCTCTGAAGAATAGCAAGTGCTCTTAATTCCTAAACATCTCTCCAGCCTCATCCTTAGTTTTTTAAATTAAGTTTCTTAGCTGGGTGTGGTGATGCACAGAATCAGGCAGATCTCTGTGAATTCAAGGCCAGCTTGGTCTACATAGCAAGTTCCTGGTCAGCTACATAGTGAGACCCTGCCTCAGAAAAACAATTCTAATTCCAGCCAGGCATGGTGGTGCAGCTACCATTCATTGACACAAGAATATGCTTTCTAGCCAGGTGTGGTGGCATACACCTTTCATCCAAGCATTTGGGAGGCAGAGGCAGGTGGATCTCTGAGTTCGAGGCCGGCCTGGTCTACATAGTGAGTTCCAGGCCATCTCCCTGTCTCAAAAAGACCAAAAAAAGAGGAAAAAAAAAAAAAAAAAAAGAATACAGCTGGGCATGGTGGTGCATGCCTTTAATCCCAGCACTTGGGAGGCAGAGGCAAGTGGATCTCTGTGAGTTCGAGGCCAGCCTGGTCTACATAGTGAATTCCAGGACAGCTGGGGCTACAGGGAGACCCTTGCAAAAAAACCGAAGAAAAAAAAAAAAAAAAAAGAATAGGCTTTCTGGAGCTGGAGAGACAGCTCAGCAGTTAGGAGCACTCTTGCAGAGGACCTAGATTTGGTTCCCAGCACCCACATAGTCCCTAACAAACATCTGTAACTCCAGTTCCAGGAGACTCAACACCTTCTTCTACCTTCTACAGGCACTGCACAACATGAGTGCATGTACATACATGCAGGCAAAACATTCATGCACATAAAATAAATTTTTAATTTTTAAAAACGAGTAGGGTTTCCACAGAATACAGCATGTTTTTTTTTTTTTTAAACTGGAGCAAACCCAGGCCTTGGAAATACATACAGGCAAATGCTCTTCTACTGAGGTACATCCCTAGCCAGGGTTGTTTATTCTTGAAGGAACAGCATAAGCAAAGACAGAAGCAGGAGGCTAGAGTATATTTGGAGATTATCAAATAGTACAACCAGTCTGGAAAAATATACATATATATCGGAGCCAGTACAGTGATGCACACCTTTATTTTTAATTTTTTATTGGATTTTTGTGAATTTCATATGGTGCACGCCTTTAATCCCAGTATTCAGGAAGCAGAGGCAGGCAGATCTCTGTGAGTTCAAGGCCAGCCTGGTCTACATATGTAAGTGAGTTTCAGGCCAGCTGGGGCTACAGGGAGACCCTGTCTCAAAAAAAAAAAAAAAAAAAAAAAGTATCAGAAAGTGATGGGATCTATCTGAAGAAGCATGCTGAAGCCTTGAATTCCAGATGTAGGAGTCTGGGTTTGAGTAGGAACAGGAAAATACCAAAGATTTTTGAGGAAGAGCATGCCATGATTTGTACTTTTACTAAAAGCAAATCTAGGGGCTAGGGATATATCTCCATTGGTAGAGTCCTTGCCTAGCCTGAATGAAGCCCTGGATTCAATGTCTAGCACCATATACACCCATGCACCAAGTATGTGATGCACACTTGTAACCCTAGTACTTCAGAGATGGAGGAAGGAGCAGAGCTGGCAAAGTAATTCATTGGGTAAAGACAATTGCCTCCAAGCCTGATAACCTGAGTTCATTTCCTAGAAGCCACATGGTAGAAAAAGAGAACAGACATCTGCAAGTTGTCCTCTGACCTCCACACACATGCTGTGGTGTGCACCCTCTACCCCTGCCACCTCCCCTCCCACACACTAAATAAATAAAAGAAGAAGAGGACGAAGAAAAGGAGGCTGGAGAGATGGCTCAGTGATTCAGAGCACTGACTGTTCTTGCAGAGGACCTGGGTTCAGTTCCCAGCACCCACATTATGGCTAACAACTATCTATAACTCCAGTTCCAGGGGATCCAATGCCCTTTGTGTGTGTGTTTGAGTGTGCACTTGCCAAAGTACATGTGTATAAGTTAGGACAACTTGTGGGAGTTGGTTCTCTGTTTCTACCATGTAGATCCTAGGGATTGAACTTAGGACAGCAAGCACTTTTACCCACTGAGCCATTTTGTCAGCACCAGTCCTTTTTAATTCATTCTGTACTTGTTCAGCCTACAGTATGGGCTTTATGTATATGAGTGCTTTGCCTGCATGTACGTAATGTGCAATGCCCACAGAGGCACCAAAGAGACCAGAAGAGGGCTCCAGATCAGATCCCCTGGAACTGGAGTTACGGACAATTGTTAGCTGCCATGTGGGTGTTAGGAATGGAACCTGGGTCCTCTACAAGAGTAGCCAATGCTCTTAACCACTGAGCCATCTCTCCAGCCCCAGAAAGCAAGTCTTTATTCATGATATGAATTTAATAGAAGCATTAAGCAAATCAGAATATGAAAATCAATGGTTTTGTTTTCCTTTACTATCCTTTTACCAAAAAAAAATGTGTTATTTATTTGTTATTTTGGGTTTTTTTCCTTTCTATTCTACTTTAGATTTACAAAAAGAGTTTTGAAGAAAGCAACTCCCATCAATCCAATATGAATGCCTTCTGTCTTCAACCATGGATCAGATACTTCAAGAGTTATTTAATAAATATGGTAGACTCATCTATGTGTTTTAATGCTTAAAGCAGAATTTACTTTTTTCAAGAAATTACTTAAAAATCAAGGAAAAAAAAATATATAACTTGAGACTGAAGAGATGACTCAGCAGTTAAGAACACTGACTGTTCTTGCAGAGGACCAGGATTCGGTTCTTAGCATTCACCTGGCAGCTAACAACCATCCATAACTCCAGTTCCCATTCCAAGGAATCTGAGCTCTCTTCTGGCCTCTGTGGGCATTGCATGCATGGGCACATTTACTTACATGTAGGCAAAATACTCATACACATAAAAATTAATTAATTTTTTTAAAAAAGAAATGCTTTATTTTGAAGATTTCCTAAAACTATCAAAGAGCATTTTCTTTGATGGAGGATCCTGAAAGAAGCAATAAATCAAAGAATAGGTAAACTGCAGATAAGTTCATAAAATTTAATATTATAAGGCCAAGTATGGTCTTCATCCCAGCACTTGGAGGTAGAGGCAGAGGCAGGCAGATCTCTGTGAGTTTGAGGCCAGCATGATCTACAGAGCAAGTTCCAGGTCAGCCAGGGTTGCATAGTGAGACCTTGTCTCAAAAACGTGGGGGGCTAGAGAGATGGCTCAGCAGTTAAGAACACTGTTTTTGCAGAAGACCCAGGTTCGAATCCCAGCACCCACATGGCAGCTAACAACTATCCGTAACTCCCGTCCCAGGGGATCCAATAGCCTCTTCTGACCTCCGCGGGCATTGCACAACAGGGTGCACTTACCTACATGCAGGCAATACACACATACACATAAAATAAAAATAATAAATAAGCCGGGCGTGGTGGCACACACCTTTAATCCCAGCACTCAGGAGGCAGAGACAGGTGGATCTCTGTGAGTTCAAGGCCAGCCTGGTCTACATAGTGAGTTCCAGGACAGCTGGGGCTCTCAAAAAGACCAAATAAATAAATAAAATTTTAAAAATAAATCTTTAATAAAAAATTGTATTTGTCAAAACACTTGGACTTTTTATATATCCATACCCTGAAATGTTTAAGTTTTGTTTCTTTCGTGAATTTTTGTGATGGATTATAAAAGGTCATATTTCTCTTACCTAGTTTTATAGTCTATTCAAAGAAAATAGTCATTCTTACTTACATTGTCTCCTCTTTTTTTTTGAGACAGGGTCTCCCTGTAGCCCCAGCTGGCCTGGAAATCACAATGTAGGCCAGGCTGACCTTGAACTCACAGAGATCTGCCTGCCTCTGCCCACTGAGGCATGCACCCCCATGTCCAGTGTCTTTTTCTTTTGTTTTTACATACTGTCTTCTGAGAAGCAAGCCATCGGGCCATTGCTTTCTGTGTGCTCATGAAAGTTTTCTGTAATTCAGTCAACACTAAAGTATGTCTTTTTTTTTTAAATGGAATCCCACATGGTCCAGGCCAGTTCCAAACTAGCGACACAGCTGAGGATGACCTGGAACTTCTGATCCTCTTGCCTTCACATCCTGGGATTACAGGTGTATACCACCAGGCCGGATTTTATGCAGTGCTGGGAATCCACCCAGGGATTCATGTATGTCAGGCAAGCATTCTACCAATTGAGCTATATCCTCAGCCCCCAAATATTAAAGACTTTTGCAAAATTCCTCATTATTTAAGCCTCTGTGTGCAATGGTTTATTCAGTCTTCGGATTCTAAAAAAGTAGTGGGTCAATTAAAACCTTTTTCTAAAAAATTTTATGTCTATGAGTGTTTTGCCTGCATATATTAAGTGCACTTGTGTCAGGCAAAGCCAGCGAAGGCCAGAAGAGGGCATTGGGTCCCCTGGAACTGGACTTATGAAAAGTTGCTAGCCGCATGTGGGTGCTGGGAATTGATCCTGGATCCTCTGCAAGAACAGCCAGTGCTCTTAACTGCTGAGCCATTTCTGAATAAAGATTTTCTAAAGACTCATGAGTCAATCATAAAAATTTATATTGAAAGTGGAAAGACACTTTTTTAAAGCTTTTATTATGGTTTTATAAATATATCTAGAATTAAATGCTTTGCTATTAAAGCCCTTGGATAAAGGCTGCTATACTAATCCATAAAATTAATTACAAAACATTGTGCAGGCTGGGCATGGTGGCACATGCCTTTAATCCTAGCACTCAAGAGGTAGAGGCAGGGGTATCTGTGAGTTTGAGGTCAGCCTGGTCTACATAGTTCCAGGCCAGCTGAGGCTACAGGGAGACCCTGTCTCAATAAGACACATACCCCCAAAAAATATTGTGCTCATTAAAAAGAATAAATATGTAGCCTTTAACCCCAGCATTCAAGAGGCAGAGAAGGTGGAACACTTGAGAGTTCAAGCCTGGTCTACATAGGGAGTTCCAGACCAGCCAGTTCTACCCAGTGAGACTATTTTAAAAAATGAAAAATAAAGCTACTGTTAAGCTATTTGTGATGTGTGCCAGTACAGTAACCCCAGGCATATATTTATCTAGTCTTCCTAACAATACTATAAAGCAGCTACTATTACTCTTTTATAGATGAGAAAGCTAAGGCAAAAGTACAGGGTCACAAGGTCTTGTGTAGCCGAGGATGGCCTCAAACTCACTATATATCCAAGATGGCTTTGAACTGATACTCCTGTCTCAACTTCCCAAGTGACGGGAACCCCAGGCCTTTGCCAAAATGCCTGGATTTATGAGGTACTGGGGATTCAATCCAAAGCTTCATGCATGTTTGAGCATGATACTGAGCTATGTCCCCAGCCCCAGAATTACATTGCCTCTCCTATATGAGGATAATTTCAGAATTTCCCATTCCTTGTAAATACTACTACTAACAATCCTGATTCATCCACCCTAGTTCTCAGTTCATTATAGTAAAATTCTCAAGAGATTATGTATGAGTGGGTAAGCATGTGGAGGTCAGAGGTGTGAGTTGGTTCTCTCCCACCTTACTGGTTCTGGCTCTCAAACCCAGATTGTCAGGTTTACATGACAAGAGCCTATACCTGCTGAGCCACCTGACCAGCCAATCGAGATTTTAAAGTAGTTTTCAGGGCATTTTAAGTTTTCAATGCTTCCTATAAAAAGTAGCCAGTTAGGTCAAATAAGTGTTAGGCTAGACAGAAGTGTGCTACACAGCTGTAATCCCAGCACAAGCAGCTTGCAGCAGGTTTGAGACCAACCTGTGCCTATAAAGTGAGACTCAACAAAAAAGCATTAGTTGATTTAGGAGTCCAGGTTCATGTTTGTTGAGTCCTTTTGTAGAACTACTATGTTGGCTTTGTATTCTACTTTACAAGGATCAGAGTCTGAGGATGATTTTGTTTTGTTTTTGAGACTGGCTTTTTTATCTAGCCCAGTAATTCGCTGTGTTCAAACCGCCAGTGGTGGCGCACTCCTTTAATCCCAGCACTGGGGAGGCAGAGGCAGGTAAAATCAAAGCCAGCCTGGTCTACATAGTGAGTTCCAGGCTCGCTGGGGCTACAGGGGAGACCCTGTTTCCAAAGACTAAATAAATAAGTAAAATAAATTCGCTGTGTTCAGAGGCAGGTTGGTCTGATCTACATACCTTGGTCCTACCCCTACCCATAGGGGTGCAGCACCATTCCCAATTTTATGTGGTGCTGGGAATGGAACCCGGGACTTCGTGCGTGCATGCTAGGCAAGCAACTTCACCGAGCTACCTCCCCACGTCTGAAGTATAGGCTAATGAAGAGTCCTGAACCGCTAACGGGAGCTTCAGATTTCTGAGAGGTGTCCAAAATATCAGGCGAAAAGAAGTGTCTATGTTATGCTCCTTTTTCTGAGCTTTGAAATACTTTCAGCATGTCCAACGAGCTAGGACGCTGGGGCTTAACCTAGGGCACATCTTCCCAATGGTGTGAAATACAATCTCTGTGACATTCACTATTAATCAAGCCGCCGTGGCTGCCAACTGCAGACTCAGGCACTTCCCGGTTCCTCTTGGGGTGTCACGCTGGGTCAAGGGTGGGGTGGGGTGGCCTGGCCGAGGGCTGCGCGCACCCACGCGGTCTCCGTTCAGACCAGCGCGGCGGGTTAGGAACTCTTGGCCTTATTTAGACTCCGTACCCCGCCCTGAACAGCCGGTGGGTTTGCCCAGGGAAGCAGCCCGCCGGCTCCTGACCCGGAATCGCATCGTGGTCCCGCCCCCTCCGCTCCGGGCTTTCTTCTGCAACAGGCGTGGGTCGCGCTCTTGCTCACTCTCTTTCCGCCGCCATCTTGGTTCCGTGTTCTCCGCACGGTAAGTGCTGCCTGCGTCTCTAGTTTCTATCTGCAGCCATCCTCCCTTGTTGCGAGCCCAGCGGCCCTGGGGATTTAAAGTTGTGGAGAGCTGGAGGCTTTAGGGGGGTGCACAGGGCTCTTCGTCCCTGGGCCTCCAGACAAAATGGGGTCTGCGGTTGGTGTCTTGGCAAAAGCAAGGCATAAGGGCCGCTGCCCAGCCCGGAGTTCGGGCCTGGGAACATGGGGACCATTGCGGTGTTAGGGGCAGAGAGGTTGGGTGCGTCTACTGTTGGAACAGCTCTGCAGGAATCCAGAAGAGGTTAAGGGGTCACAGCTCTAGTATTCCCAACACCGTTCTTACTGTAGCAAAGGGAGTGTTGGGACTTAGGGCACCCTCCTCTCGACCCTCGGAAGTGGTCAGAAGAGTCCGGGGTCCCAGGCTAGGCGGCGTGAATGCTGGAGGGGAGCGGGCCCCAGGTAGCTTCTGAAGTCTCATGATCCGGAGCCAGACCAGGATCCTCACTGGAGAGTGATTGCTGCCCTTGTGGGGTGAGAAGAGTGAAATTCAACGAACCCTGGGCACTGGGAAGTCAGCTGTTTGCTGAGCGAAGAACCTCTATGAGAGGTGATCCCTTTGATAGAGATCTGGAGGTCACCTCATAGTCTTCCCCCTATTTCCAGACACTAGGGAGGCTGTAGCAAACCTTGATGATTTGTTTCTGTGCACAGTTCTTCCAGAATACTTGACTCTGGGTTGGGCAGGTGAATGCATGGCAGTCAATTCAGGTCTCCCTTTTATTCCTTTCCTTCAGAAATGCCTGGTGAAGCTACAGAAACCGTCCCTGCTACAGAGCAGGAGTTGCCACAGCCTCAGGCTGAGACAGGTAGGTTCCCCTAGGCCTCTTGCTGTTAATGAAAATTGACCCTAAAGCCAGTTGGTAGGTCAAGTACAGGAAATACATTTCTGCCTTTTAGAGTGCATTATCGTTTAACAAAATAAAAAAAAATGAGATTATAGCTTTACCGGAGAGACCTTAAATTTTAACTGCTATTTTAAAGAGAATGCAAAAATGATTTAGGAACACTAAAAGTTCCCTACCCTGCTTTAAGGGTTATGCCAGCTGCTTCAAAAGTAGTTTGCTGTAGAATCTCATATAGGACAGCTGAGCAGGTGCTTCAGGTCTGTTAAACTGGCAGGCTAAGGAGACCTGAGCTTTAGTAAAGTTCCAGACAGCAAGTTGCATCAAGGTTTAAGGTAGCAGTGATTGGCACTGTGCCTTTCATCACATGTCTGGATGAGATACGTGCTGATGGTGAATGTGTCCTATCGAGCCCAAGTCTCTAGGTCAGTTAACTTGTTTCATTAAAGGTTGATGCTGAGGTATTTATAGTGTGCTGGGATAGTGCCGGAACCATTGTATGGAACCCAAGACTAAATTTTTCAGTTTTGACTGTCTTCAAGTGTGAAATATGGGTGTGGAGTGTGCTGTAAAGGCAAGTTTGAGAGCTGGTTAAAGATTTTGATAGAGAACTTGAGAAGAGATATTGAAAGAAATGTGAAATGGTAGTCTTACTGAGTCAGTTGTACAGAATCTAAATGAACGGTGTTTTAATGGAGCTTTTTTTTTTTAATATTTTATAGTAAACTTCTAGAAAAATATTTTGCCTCTTACTCAAGGGCAATTTCTGTCTTGGAGTTAAAATTGTTTATGCTTAAAAGCATTAAGGTTCTCCCTCCCCACCTGTCCAGTTTTAGCAGCTGAAGGGATTAATACAGCTGCTAGACCAGAAGGGAAATGGGGCCAAGAGCTGGAGAATGGGTAATGTAGAATGTTTGAACTACAAGAAACTTAAGGAAGGGGAAAAGGAACGGTGTCTGAAGGTCCTGTAACTTCAGTGCTAAACAAGATTTGAACTCAAATTTATAAAAGTGGAAACTGAGCTGTGCGTGGTAGCACATGCCTTTAATCCTAGCACTTGGGAGGCAGAAGCAGACAATTCTCTGAGTTCCAGGCCAGCTGGGGCTACAGGGAAATCCTATCTCAAAAAGACACACACCTACCCCCAAAAAAGTGGAAGCCAAAATTTACTAATTTAGAATGTTGTGGTTCCAATCTTTTAAAACTAATAATTTCTGAACAGTCCTTAGTGTTGTTGAACATATAATTAATCTGAGCTTGCACACCTTTATAATATTTAGGGCATATTAGTGTTTTGTCTAATTAAATGGTCTTATTAGCCTGAATGAAGACACCAATTTAGGGAACTGGTTATGAAAGCAAATAATGTAGACCTTATCCTACCTTCAGGTCCAATGGGAAGACATTCCTTTTGGGTTGTGTTTTTGTGTTTTTGGGGGGCTTTTTTCTTTTTTGGTCTTTTTGAGACGGGGTCTCCCTGTAGCCCCAGCTGTCCTGGAACTCACTATGTAGACCAGGCTGGCCTTGAACTCACAGAGATCCGCCTGCCTCTGCCTCCCAAGTGCTGGGACTACAGGCATGTGCCACCACGCCCGGTTTTTGTTTTTTATTGCTGTTGGTTTGTTTTGTTTTGGTCTCAACATTCCATGTTTTAAAGGTTTTCATGTAGCCAGTTCTTCCAGAAAGACTTGTGAATTTAGGTTTTTCCCTTTCACGCCTTTCTAGATAGATAGATTTGTTGATTTAATCTGACATTATCTCTTGAATGACACAGAATTTTTTTCCCTCATTCAGAAATCCTTTTAGTGCCAAATATTTGTCTATTTTTGACAGATTGACATACCTATGTTAAGGAATAAAGGACTAATATATTCTTTCATTGTAATTCTCTTCTTCCAGAGTGTGGCTTAGCAAGATGGATTAGTTCTCTGATAAAATTCCTACCCTTACAGCTTAACTTTCTCCCTGGAAAGAGCTAACATTATTGAGGAAGGGTATAGAGTACGGCGTATAACCCACTTGTGGCTGAGATTTTAATTTTGTTATTGAATTTTGAAGAGTTTTGACTTTGGTAGAACTTAATATATCGGCACTTCCTTCCTAAAACTTTATTCCAACATACATTTTTTTTTTTCCCCTGGCCTAGTAGAAGCCTGAGAATATAGTTGATTTTTCTCATTCAACTTCCATCATTAACACTGCTCACATCATTCCTTGTTTTAGTGGTATTCACTGAGAAAAGATTTGGGAATGTTGCCTATTTCATGAAGGAAGGGGGAGGAAGGCATGTTCCCAGTCCACTCCAGGCCTAAATGTAGTGATGCAGGGCTGTAATCTCAGTTATTTAGGAAGCTGAGATAGAGGGCTAAATTGAAGGCTAACCTAAGCAATTTAGTGAGGCTGTTTCAAAGAGTAAAAAGTGGGCTGAGGTTATTATAATCTCAGTGGTAGAGTGCTTGCTTAGTATGGGTGAACACTAGGTTTAATCCCCAGTACAGGGGGAGGATGTGAGCCTGTGCTCCCCATTTAGAGATGAGCTAGTCTTAGACTATTTGCCCCGCCTTAAAATAGTTGGTTTATTTTTGTAGAACTTAGGAAGTGTGGGAAATGAGAAGGTTGTATCTCACTTAGCCACAGAAACATGTATGGGGAAAGATGATGTTGCTTGTCACCGTTTTCTAATCCTGTGTGGTGACCTTCATTATCAGATTTAAAACTCCGTTGTTTCCTGTGAGGCATGTTACCAATTTGAGCTGCACAACTCACCTTTTTCCCCTCCCTTTATCTCCTTTTCTTGTCTTGTTCTATGTTTTTTTTGTTTGTTTTTTGCTTTTTCTCCAGCTGTGCTTCCTATGTCTTCAGCCTTAAATGTTACTGCTGCTTTAGGGCAACCTGGATCTACTGTTCCCGCTCCTTGCTCCCTGGCCCCTCAACAATGCCCTCCAGCAACTGCTAATCAGCCTTCCCCATTCCCTTCTCCCTCTAGTGTTACCTCCACCCCTTTTGAAGTTCCTTTTTCCCAGCCATCTTCTGGAACAACTGTGCCTTTGGAAACTTCCCCCCACGCTCCAACTTTCCTACCACACCTAATAGGGCCTCCCATCTCCCCAGCTGCCTTAGCTTTGGCCTCTCCCATGATAGGTCCAACTCTGAAAGGTGCCCGTTCCTCTTCAGCTCCCTTGTCTCTGGTTGCAGTGGCTCCCCACTCAGTTCAGAAAAGTTCTGCATTTCCACCTCACCCTTTTACCTCACCTTCCTCAGTTCCTATAGCAGAGACAGGGTCTCTGATGGCTCCTATTACTCCCTTAGAACCAAAGGCTTCTCCTATTCAAATTCCTTCTCAGACAGTTCCTAATCCAAAAGGTACTACCCCAAGTCCTTCGACTACAGTCAGTGCATTCCCTTCCCACTTTAAAGCTCCCTTGGCCTCTCTTCAGTCTGGATTAGCCTCCTGTTCTCAGACAATACCCATCACTCCCCCGGCTATCACTTCTCAGGTCAAAGGTATCCCTGTTTCCTCAGCTCTAATGCCACAAAACATGTTAAGCCTTAGCCTAAAGGGACCTGTTAGTTCACTTGCTCAAAAGACAGTGATTCCCAACATCCTCCCAGGATCCCCTGTTTCTCTGAGCTCTCATCTCCCACCTTTGCTTCAGAGTTCTTCAGATTCTCCTAACCAACTTTCAGGTCAATCAGGTCCCAGTGCTCTGTCAGATCCTACTGTGACTAATACAGTTTCTGTAGATCATTCTTCCATTGAGGCATCTTCTCCATCTGAGGCATCTGTAATTCCTCCCCTTGCTTCCAGACATGAACCTGTTGCTCATGCTGTGGCATCTCTTCCAGTGGGGGCTCCAGCTTCTGCTATGGCTCAGTCTGTTGACAGGGGCCTCACTAACATCACTAGTCTAACCTACAGCTCTCCTGGCTCCTCAAATCTAGCAGGTACTTCATTATCTCCTACAGCCTCACTCATTCTCAAAGGCTCAGCTAATGCCACTCAGCAGCCTTTGGTGACCCAGTTTCCTTCTTCAAAAACTGTCTTGAAAGAAACTCCTGTCTCTTCTGCTGGAACTACCCCACCTGTTATAGATAACCCCTCAACAATTTCTGTAGCACCTACCACTTATGTGCCTCTTCCAGTTTCATCAGGTCTCATCAGTAGTAAAGAACTGACTTCCTCGACTGCCTTGGTTTTAGCACCTACAGCTCGCAATAAGCTTCCTGCTACTCAGGTAGCAACTACTCTAGGGCTACCAGTCTCACCTCCTCCAGCCCCTGAAGGCCTTAAAAATCTCCCCACTTCTGAATTGGTAAGTGTAGGAGCCCCTACTTCTCCAGTCCAGGCAGCACTCCCTACCAGGAAAGACCCTACTCTACTGCCCTTTTCCCTAGCAGCTCCTAAAGAGTCTCCTCCCCAAAGCACATCATCTTTGGATGTGCCTTCTCCTCAAGCCACTCTAACAAAGATGACCCTTGAAGGGCTTCTCCCTGTAGCTAGGCCAGCCAGTACCACTAGTTCTTTGGGTAATAATTCTCCAGCCACTGTAGTCAAAACCGAGTCTTATGCCCATCCAGACACTGTCAATTTGCCTCTCAAAAGTTCTATCACTGCCTCAACAATGGTTCCATTTTCTTTAGAAAGTTCTGATCATGCAGGAGTGGCTCCTAGACCTGCCAAAGGTACCTCTACTCCTAAGACTTCCACTTCTGCTGCTGTACCTTTTGTTCCTCTAGCTTCTGAAGACTTGCCTGTGGCTCCATCTATGGCTTTATCTCCCAAGAATGTTTCTGTCTGTATAGCCCCTGAAATTCCCAAGTCTGCTCTTCCCCCATGTGGGATTTCTTTTTCAGGTGCAAACAAAGTTGACAGTGTTTCTTATGTGGCATCTCCTGAAGGGCACCCAGATGCCTCTGGTGCTTCTCTTACTGCATCTTCCAAAGGAACTCTAGTTTGTCTTGCAGACTCCCCATCTCCTTTAGAGGCTGCTGTGTCTCCTCAGACTAAAAGACATCCAACCAAAAAGGGTTCTGCTGTCCCAAATGTTCTTCCTGGAAATCATTCATCTCCTCTTTCTCCACTTGACATTTCCCACCTTCCAGAGGCCAGTCTTTCTTTTCAAGCCCCTAAAGGCTCACTTAAGCTTTCTCCTACTCCTCCATCCCCTAAAGGGTCCCCTACTCATTCAACTGTGGCTTCTCCCATCCCAGAAGGGGCAGCTGCCTCCCTCAAAGAGGTGCCAGCAGCTCCCTTCCCTAAAGGGACCCCCACTGCCCCAACAGAGACTCCTATATCCCCCAAAAAGACCTTAGCAACTTCATTCCCCAAAGATGCCACAACTGTCCCAGCAGAAATTCTTCCTTCCCCACAAAAGACCCCAGTAACTACAGTTTCCGAAGGGGCTTCAGCAGTCCCATCCCCCAGAGCAGCCCCCACTGCACCAGATATGACTCCTACCTCTCCCAAAAAGACTCCAGCAACTGCAGTCCCCAAAGATGCCCCAGCAACCCTGTCTCCCCAAAAGGCCCATGCAGCCCCATATCCTAATGGGACCCCCATTGCTCCAGCTGAGATCTCTCCCTCCTCACAAAAGGCTTCAGCAACTCCATCTCCCAAGGGTACCTCTTCTCCCTCCTCACAAAAGGCTCTAGAAATTATAACTTCTAAGGTTGCCCCAGCTGTGACTCCTGCTCCCCACAAAAAGGCACCAGAAAATGAAACTTCCAAAGAAGTCTCAGGAGCCCAGTCCCCCACTGCACCAGATGTGACTCCTACCTCCTCCAAGAAGTCCCTACCAACTGCAGCATCCAAAGAGGCTCTAACAACCCCACCCTCCAGAGGTGTTCCTACTGCTCCAGCTGTGACTCCTCCCTCCCCCAAAAAGGCTCCAAAAACTACATCCCCAAAAGGTGCTCCTGTGCCCCCAAAAAATGTGCCAGAAATGGAAGCCTCCAAAAAAGTCTCAGCAGCCCAGTCGCCCAAAAGGGCCCCCACTGCACCAGATGTGACTCCTACAACCCCACCTCCAAAAGGTGCTCCCACTGTTCTAACTATGACTTCTTCCCCAAAAAAGTCCCCCAAAACTTCAGCTCCCAAAGAATCTCCAGCCACCACCCCATCTGAAGGGGTCACCACTGTGCCACTGGAGAATCCTCCCTCCCCCAAACAAAAAAAGTCTCCCCAAACTAAAACCCCCAAAGAATCTCCAGCCACTACCCCATTTGAAGGGGTTACCACTGTGGCACTAGAGAATCCTCCTTCCCCAAAACAAAAAAAGTCCCCCAAAACTATAGCTCCCAAAGAATCTCCAGCCACTACCCCAGTGGAGAGTCCTACGACCTCTAAAAAGGTCTCTAAAACTGCAGCCCCCAAAGAAAGCCCTACAACTCCATCCCTGAAAAAGGCACCAAGAACTATAACCCCCAAAGAGGCTTCAGCAACCCCATCTCCTGAAGGGGTCGTCAGTGTACTGGAGATTCCTCCCTCCAAAAAGGCCCCCAAAACTGCAGGCCCTAAAGAAACTCCAGCAACCCCATCCCCAAAAAAGGCCCCTAAAACTACAGCTCCCAAAGAAACTCCAGCAACCCCTTCACCAAAAAAGGCCCCCAAAACTTCAGCTCCCAAAGAAACTCCAGCAATGCCAGCTCCTGAAGGGAGCACCACTGGGCCATTGGAGAATTCTTCTAAAAAGGCCCCCAAAACTTCAATCTTAAAAGAAACTCCAGCAGTCCCATCTCTTGAAGAGGTCACCCCTGTGCCAGTAGAGATTCCTTCCTCCTCCCAAAAAGCTCCACAAACTGTACCCCCCAAAGAAACTCTACCAACCTCATCCCCCAAAAGGGCACCAAGAATAGCCCCTAAAGAAACTCCCGTAAGCCCATCTCCTGAAGGGGTCACCACTCTACCATGGGAGCTTCCTTCCTCTCCCCAAAAGGCTCCAAAAACTGCAGCCCCCAAAAAAACTCTAGCAACCCCATCCCCCAAAAGAGCTCCCAAAGAAAGTCCAACACCATCTCCCAAAAAGGCCTCCAAAACTGCAACCCCCAAGGAAGCTCCAGCAGCCCCATCTCCTGAAGCAGTCACCACTGAGCCATCAGAGAGTCTTCCCTCTCCCAAAAAGGCCCCCAGAACTGCAACCCCCAAAGAGGCTTCAGCCACCCCACACTCCAGAAAGGCACCAAGAAATTCAACACCCAAAGAAACTCCAGCAGTCCTATTTCCTGAAGGGGTCACCACTGCACCACCAGAGATTCCTTCCACCTCTCAAAAGGCACTAGCAACTCCATCTCCCAAAGAGGCTCCAGCAACCCCACCCCCCAAAAAGGTAGCAAGAACTACAGGCTCCAAAGAAGTCCCAACAATCCCATATACTGACGGTGTCACCACTGTACCTCCAGAGACTCCTCTCTTCCCCCAAAAGGTCCCAACAACTACAGCCCCCAAAGAAGTTCCCATCTCCATCACCGCTAAGACACTGGAGATTCCTGCCTCCCCCAAAGAGATTGCAATAGTCCCATCTCCCAAAGATGTCCCCACTGCCTTAGCTGTGACTTCCTCCTCCCAAAAGGCCCTAGGAATTCCATCTTTAAAAGGTGCCCCCAATGCCCCAGTCAGGAGTCCTTCCTCCCTTAAAAAGGCCTCAAAGAATGCAGCTCCCAAAGAGACTCCTACAACCCCATCTTCTAATAAGGCATCTACTGTCCCGGCTGTGACTCCTCCCTCCCCTACAAAGACCCCAAAAACTCCATCCCAAAAGAAGGCACCAAAAACTTTAGCCACCAAAGAATGTCCAAACCCCTCTCTTGAAGGGGTCACTACTGCACCAATGAAGATGAGTGCTCCCTCCTCCCAAAAGGTCCCAGCAACTGCAACCCCCAAGGAGGCTTCAGCAATGCAATCTCTTAAAGGGGACCCCACTGTCATATCTGTGACTCCTACCTCCAAAAAGGCCCCAGCAGTTCCATCTCCTGAAGATGCCTCCACTGTCCCAGTGGTTTCTCCCTCCCCTATATCCCCAGTAAAGAGTTTTCCCTCCAAAAATGCACCAGCTACTGCAGCCCTGAAAGCAGTTCCAGCTACCACATCTGAAGGAGCCCCCACTGCCCCAGTAACAGTCCCCAGAGAGGCCTCAGCAACTGCAACTTCCAAAGAGGCTTCAGCAGGCCAGTGTCCTAAAGAGGCCCCTACCATCCCAGCTCTGATTCCTACCTCCCCTAAAGAGGTACCAGCAACTTCATCCCCACAAAAGGCCTCAGCCTCCAAAGAGACCTCAGAAACATCAACCTCCAAAGGAGTTCTCATGTCCACCATCAACACTCTACCCTCTCTTCCCTCTGCTAAACAGACCCCAGCCTCTAAAAGGGCCCCCAGTCTCTCAGCTGTTACTCCTTCCTCCCCCAAAGGCTCTCCTTCCCCAGTGTCAGTTATATGTAGTACAGAGACTGTTAACCTTCCGGCATCTGAAAAGCTGCCAAAGAAAGACCCTACAGGTCTCAAAGAAGTCCTTGTTGCATCAGCTCCAGAAAGTGCACTGGTCATCACTGCTCCCACCCAGAAAGCCCCAAAAGCCAAGAAGAATTCTGCTGCTTCACCTTCTAAGTGCTCAGATCCCTCAGCTAAGAATGATACAAAAGGACCCCTTTCTACAGTGGCTCCAGCCTCTTTACTGAAGGTCCCTGTTGAAAAAGACTCTTCAAAGCCTGCAGAAGCTCTTCCTATGTGTTCTACAAAAGGCAGTAATTCTGTTCATTCCCCAAAGGGTCCCTTGGCTGCTTCTCCCAAGTATAAGACCTCTACCCCTCCAGTGGCAATTCCCTCTGACAAAGTCCTTCCTAAAGCTGGATTATCATCAGTGGCTCCAAAACCCACCCCACCAGTCTCTGTGACTCTTGCTTCCCCCCCAGCTCCTCCTCTGCTTCCTAAACAGCCATTTCTTCAGTCCTCACCTGGGCTGGTACCTGAGTCACCCTCTAAGCTCCCAGCCCCTGCTGATGAGGATGAGCTGCCGCCTCTGATTCCCCCGGAACCAGTCTCTGGGGGAGTGCCTTTCCAGCCGGTCCTCGTCAACATGCCTGCCCCTAAACCTGCTGGGATCCCTGCCCCAGCCCCCTCTGCCAAGCAGCCTGTTCTGAAGAACAACAAGGGTACTTGCCTTGGTTTGCTGTGTGCATGGTGTGTTGCCCACACCCCTCTTGGGGGCTACCCACCAATACTAACTAGGATGCGCCGCTCTCTCCAGTACATCTGCTTGAGTTTGGACATAGTGTGTAGAATGATGACTAAACGCAGAAGCTCTGGGCATATGAAACTAAATCTTGGTTTCCATCATCTCAGATAATACTACTTTGTGTCTTATGTAAAGTGGTCCAGGCTAGCCTGCCATCCTTTTTACCTAACTGAGCTGATACTGAAAACCAAGACCTACCAAGCCTTTCTTTGCTCTAACCCTTACCACGTCACTAACCTTGTCCCTGGGGCTTGCTAAAAATTTTGGAGTCTTAAAACTATTTCCTTTTTACTTTTTAGACTTAGTAATTACCAGGTGCCCAGGGACATCTTTTCTTACAAATGTAGAGATCTGTTTTTCTTAGCCTAAGAATGGTGTGGGTATATGCTTTCCTCCCTCTCCAGTAGTATTTATTGATGCTTGGCCTTTCAATTGAAGGAAGATTAAAATACCTGAATCTGTTTGGAAGAAATGGGAGAAGTCACAGGACTTAAGCTAGTAGAGAAGGTGGTTCTTAGAACTTGACAACATTGAGAATTTTCCAGTGATGGGGTTAAATTCCTAAGGCAAATGGTTTAGAAATATGGCAGAATGTATGTGTACGACTGCTTCTGGCCTCTTCCAACCCTGTTTAAAGGATGAAGAGAAAGCCTGTTCTGCCTCTACGATATGATTTTCCTTTTTTTTTCTCAATTAATTGTATAGATATTATTATTAAAGATTTAACTTTGTAAGGCCTTGCATAAAGCAGTAACAGACTATGGTAAGGTGCCACACCTTAAAATTCTACAAAAGTAGTAAAAGTTGTCTGTCATCTTAGGGTCTGGAACAGAATCTGACAGTGATGAATCAGTACCAGAGCTCGAGGAACAAGATTCCACACAAACCACCACACAACAAGCCCAGGTGAGTATTTTCTTAATAATTTGTATAATCACAAAAACACTCAAACCATGTGTGATGACATATACCTGTAATCTTAGCACTTAGAAGACTGAGACAGGAGGTTTGAGAGAGAGTTCAAGGCTATCCTGGACTACAGTGAGACCATGTCTCAAAAAAAGCTAGAGAACCAAGGTTCATGGCAACTGACTTGGCTATTTGGAACTGTGAGTCTTTGTAAAGTAAAACTACATGGAAACAGGTGTCCAGATCTATGAATCCGGTCAACTCAAAACTTTTTCTTTTTTTTCTTTTTTAGCTGGCAGCAGCAGCTGAAATCGATGAAGAACCAGTCAGTAAAGCAAAACAGTCTCGGAGTGAAAAGAAGGCAAGGAAGGTAAGATTAAGTTATAATGATTAAGGTTCTAATGATTGAATTTTAGCATAAAACATGTAGTAGTACATTAGTATATGCCTATAATCCCAGGACTTGGGACATTAAGGCAGAAAGATCAGTACAAGTCTAACCTGGGATACATGAGACTCTGTCTTTTAAAAAAAAAAAAAAAAACTGAAAAAAACTTGGTGAATTACAGCAGAAAACCCAGAAGCCCTGAAAAACAATTCACTATTCTTCCCTTGTATGAACTTAACCTAGGAAAGGTCTGCTATAGCTACTGGATGTGGTATTATGTTCCTTTCTTTCTGAAGCTGCCTCTAAAGTTAGAAACTTAATGTTCTTTTCTGTTCTTTAGGCGATGTCCAAACTGGGTCTTCGACAGGTCACAGGGGTTACTAGAGTCACTATCCGGAAATCTAAGAATATCCTCTTTGTCATCACAAAACCAGATGTCTATAAGAGCCCAGCTTCAGATACCTACATAGTTTTTGGGGAGGCCAAGGTCAGTAAAATTTTCTTGAAGAGTTGCTCTAGACCAGCATTATTATTAACATTTGGGTCAGATAATTCTTTGCCATAGATATTTAACAGCTTCTCGTACAATTGTGATTATTTTAAACTCTCTATAGACAGTACCCGAACAGCCCCTGAGAGACATTGTCACTCCAGTTGATAACAGTAGTCTGTAGTCTGAAGTGAGGGCAGATGTTCTACAACAAAGTAATAGTGAGTTACATGAAATGGGATTTTCCACTTACGAATCTACTCACATGACTACATATTCTTTACCCTGTAGATTGAAGATTTATCTCAGCAAGCACAGTTAGCAGCTGCTGAGAAATTCAAAGTTCAAGGAGAAGCTGTTTCAAACATTCAAGAAAACACACAGACTCCAACTGTACAAGAGGAGAGTGAAGAGGAAGAGGTATACCACAGAAATCTTGAAACTATAATCTTTGCATGTTTGTGTTCCTAGATTCTGACTCAAAAGAACTATTGAAGTTATTACCTTTAATTTATGGAGATTCTCCTCCCTACCCCCTCTCTTAGGTTGATGAAACAGGTGTGGAAGTTAAGGACATAGAATTGGTCATGTCCCAAGCAAATGTGTCCAGAGCAAAGGCAGTCCGAGCCCTGAAAAACAACAGTAATGATATCGTAAATGCTATTATGGTAAGCAACTTAGTCTTTATTCTTTAATTTTCTCAGCGCTGAAAAGTTCTAAGGGGCTTTATTTCCTTCTAAAGCCTATCCTAAGATACCTTAGATTTTAGTGACCTGAATTCCTCCACTTTGCGTGTAAATACCTCTAATTATCTTTTTTCTCTTGCAGGAATTAACAATGTAACTATCTGAAAACAAGGATCCTTTTGGTGTTTCAAAAGTGGAACTAGAGCTTGGCTTGAAATTTGTACTGTTTCTATCATAAATAAAGTTATGGCTTCTTGTTGGATGAACTCAATAGGTGCTTGATCTCATCCCAAAAAGTGTTTTTATATGTATGTCTGTGAGTATGTCATGTGTGTACAGGCCAAAAGAAGGCATCATAGCCCCAGCTTGTCTGGAAGTCACACTGGAGACCAGGCTGGCCTGAAACTCAGGGAGATCCACCTGCCTCTGCCCCCGGAATGCTGGGATTAAAGGTATGCACCACCACACCCGGCCCTGATACTTTATTAATTTTAAGACCACCTTCAGGTGAAAAGATTTAGTACTACAGATTCCCCACTTAAAATTTCAGCTTTTCAAGCCAGGTATGTATGCTGGGCTAGAGGACATAACCTTTAATCCTGGCACATAAGAGACTGAAGCAGGACTGGGGTAGATAGCTCAGAGTAAGAGTAGCATAAGGACCCAAGTTCATAATCCCTACCACCCACGTGAAAAATGCCAGGTGTCTATGTGCACCCATAACTCCAGAGCCTTGGAGGTCAGAAACAGGATCACTGGGGCTTTCTGGCTCCCAGACTTTGTATGAGTATATTTCCTGCATGTGTGTGAGTGCAACAGTGCCCTTGGAGGTCAGAAGAGGACATAACTACCAAACCATCTCCAGCCTCAAGGATCTAGCCAGGTGTTGCACAGCAGGCCTTTAATCCCAGCATTTGGGAGGTGGAGGCAAGTGGATCTCTGAGTTCAAGGCCAGCTGGGGCCACAGGAAAACCCTGTCTCATAAAGACCAAGGAAAAGAAAAAAAAAGATCTAAAACATAACAGCTGGGCTAGGTGTGATGACACATGCCTTTAATCCCAGAATTTAGGAGTCAGAGACAAGCAGATCTCTGAGATCAAGGACAGCTGTGGCTACAGGGAGATCTTAAGCTGTAACAGATGGAAATGTAACTCAATGGTGGAGTGCACTCGGCAAGGCCCTGAGATTATCAACACCCAAGAAACACAACATGAAATTCTCTTAAAGATACTCTCCCCATGTGCAGCAGTACTCTTTCCTATATCCCAGCATGCAAGAGGATGGAGTATCGAATTCAGCCTGAGCTAATCCAGGCATGGGTGGCTCATGCCTTTAGCCCAGTACTTGGGAGGTAGAGGCAGGCAGGATTTCTGAGTTTGTGGTCAGCCTGATCTACATGGCAAATTCCAGGCCAGCCAGGGCTGCATAATGAGACCTGTCTCAAAAATAAAATTTTTGTGAGCTGGAGAGGTGGCTCAATAGTTAAAGGACCCAGGTTTGATTCCCAGTACCCACACAGCCACTAACAACTGTCCATAATTCCAGTTCTAGGAGATCCAACACCTTCTGGTACCCACTGGCATTGCATTCACATGGTGCACTTACAAAGTACTCATAATACATTTTTTAAAATCAAATTAAAAAAAAGCAGCTGGGCATGGTGGTGCCTGCCTGTAGTCTCTTAAGAGGCAGAGGCAGGTGGATTTCTGTGAGTTCAAGGCCAGCCTGGTCTACATAGTGAGTTCCAGGCCAGCTGGAGCTAAAGCACTTACTGCTCTTACAGAGGACCTGGGTTCTGTTCCGGCACTCACACAGTGTCTCGCAACCATCTGTAACTCTATTTCCAGGGTATCAAATGCACTCTTCTGGCTACCATGGACACTACCCACATGGCACACATACATATAAGCAAACTACAAAATTTTTTAAATCTTTAAAAACTTATTTGCCGGGTGTGGTGGTGCACGCCTGTAGTCCCAGCACTTGGGAGGCAGAGGCAGGTGGATCTCTGTGAGTTCAAGGCCAGCCTGGTCTACATAATGAGTTCCAGGACAGCTGGGGCTGCAGGGAGACCCTGCTTCAAAAAGATCAAAAAAGAATTATTTCAGAGCCAGGCATGGTGGTGCATGCCTTTAATCCCAGCACTCGAGATAGAGGCAGTCGGAATTCTGAGTTCAAGGCCAGTCTGGTCTACATTGCCAGTCCCAGCCCAGCTGGGGCTACAGAGACCCTGTCTCAAAAAGACCCCACCAATTTTTTTTTTTTTTTTTTTGAGACATCCTGTAGCCCCAGCTGGCCTGGAATTCACAGAGATCCACCTGCCTTTGCTTCCCGAGTGCTGGGATTAAAGGCATGCAACACCACGCCCAGCTAAAAGTACTTTAGAAGGCTAGAGAGATGGCTCAGTGGTTACCAATTTAAGAGCACTGGTGCTCTTACAGAGGACCCTGGTTCCAGTCCCAGCACTCAATGGCAACTAACAACCATCTATTAACTCCAGTTCCATGGGAGTCCGATGCCCTCTTCTGACCTCCACAACATGGGTGCACTTACGTACATGGCAGGCAATATACCCCTACACATAAAATATTTTTTTAAATACTCTTTTAAGGGGCTGGAGAGATGGCTCAGTGGTTAAGAGCACTGACTGCTCTTGCAGAGGACCTGGGTTTGATTCCCAACACCCACATGGTGGCTATGAACCGTCCTTAACTCCAGTTCCAGGGGAATCCAAAGCCCTCTTCTGACCTCCGTGGCATTGCACAACATGGGTGCACTCACACACATGCAGGCAATACACTCATACACATAAAATATTCGTAAAATACTCAAAAAATAGGGCTGGATGGTTCAGCAGGTAAAGATACCTACTACCAAACCTGACCTGAATTCAATCCTTGGGCTCCATATGGTAGAATAAGACCAACTCCTACTGGCTTTCCTCTCACCACACAAATGCTGTGGCATATATGCACACTGAAAAAAATTATAAAGTTAGCCAGGTGTGGTGATACTCAGCCTTTAATCCCAGCACTTGGGAGGCAGATTTCTATGAGAGGTAGGCCAGCTGGGGTTACAGGGAGACCCTGTCTCAAAAAACTTTTGAGGCTGGCCTCAAAGTCACTCTAGTTGAAACAGTAAAACTCTGATCCTCCTGCCTCAAACTCAGTTGATTGCAGGTGAACACTACCACATCCAGTAACACTCATAATTTATCCATTTTTTTCTTTGTTATACTTAGGTTTGAACCTAGTGCCTTAGATGCTAGATGGACACTCTAGCACTCAATTTCCCAGCACTCCACTTACTCTTTTATGGTGCTACAGCTCAAACCCAGGG